TCCTTTCACCAGAATGGGACGAATGACACCAGGTTTTGTCTTGACCCATAGCACACCCAGGAGAATAGAGATGGAAGAATAATAAAAGAAAATGCTTCACAATTTACAGGATATTTGTTAGAAAAGTCAATTCCAGTGGGACTGTACTGACTAGATTTTTTTTTATTTACTAATGACATATATCACCAGCTAAATTATTCAGGTGTCAGGCTGCCTGGAAAACTTCTATACAAATTGTGGAAAAAAATTGAAAGAGCTGTGTTTATGCACAGACCCTCTTCACTGACATCTGTTTGTTACTGACACAAATAGATGCTGGGCTGTCAGACTACAGTTTGTGGGTTTTGCTGGCTATTGTTGCCAGATGTGCAGCTGCATCTTGATAAGTTCATCATATCACACTTTATGCACAGCCACAAGTCTGCTTTCATGCTGCAAATTCCTTTCTAGGCTCCTCAAAACAAGGAAGGGCAACACGTGATGCTATTAACTTATACCCTGCAGCAACATATTAGGGGAATGTTTTCTGGGCAATAATACCAGTGACCATATGTTGGATTTTGACAATATCTTTAAGAGTTCCCTTGAAAAGGTACAATTTCAGAGAATTTAATCTGCATGAATACGTGGTACCCCTCATTTGAGACAAATTGGATTATTTAATCAAGAAAAATGTCTTGGTTAGCTACCAGGTTACTCAAAAATTTACTATTAACTTGTCAATTTAGTACCTCTGTGATTTTCAGAATTCTTAGAGTAAAATCTAACATGATAGACTGTGGCATAAACTCTAAACAGAGGCAAGGGGATAATGTTAAAACAGACAATCTGCTTGGTGAGCAAAAAAAGTAAGAAAGAAGAGTAAATTTTCACTGGAATTTGTAAGTGCTGAAGTCCTGGAGACGTATGTGATTAAATTTAAACTTTTACATAAGTAAATTGTTTTCTTTCCCCTTACAGCTGCCCCATAGGAAATGTGTGGTCTTTGCCACAACTGGTTTAGCTGCTGAGCTCCTTCTGTGGCTGCAGCCCAGAGGGGCAGCTTGCCTAGCTGGGACTGAGAAGCACGTGCTGTCACAGCTCCCCATCCTCAGTACCCAGAGGGGTATAAAAACGCAGAGAAGAAACTTGATTCACTATTGGATTTATTTATAAGATTCAGACTATGTACATTTAATAAGGCTGTGCTGCCTATTTACAAGAGCGAGACACTTGAGCAGTCTGTCTGGAAATAAAAAAAGAAAAAAACAGCTTGCTATGAAAGTAACTTTAGAATGATGCAGCTGAGATGTATTGTGTAAATGGAATGATGGACCACTTTAAAATAAGATCTGCAGGCATCCAGGAAGGACAGAACAAAAGGGGTGTCTGTTTGAGGGGAGGGAGGAGACAGGAGATGTTGCCACATCCTGTGCTTCTCCCTCTGCCCTGGGAAAAGACAGGGCAGTGCCCAAGGCCTGGAGTGAAAGCTGCAGAAGTGCAGAGGAGCATAACACACCTGGGAGGAGCAAGGGCCCAGCAGTAAAGTACCTTCTCTTAGGTTTCATCCCCTCCCTTCTTTCTGCAGGTTGAGACCCTTTCATCTGCCTCATCAAATAAAAAAACAAAACCATGTTCAACTGAAGCAAAAAATTAGCCATGAGGTGATATTTCCTTTAAAAAAACAGTAACTGCCAAGTTACATTATTTTTTTTTCACTAGAAAAGTCAACTTAGTGAACAATGTGGTGATTATTTAATGGATTCATAGTCTATAATTCATTGCCATTTCTTTACAGGATTCACCATAAAACATTTATTTTCCTCTCTAAGATTTCTGAGAAGAGTTCACAAAAGTGAAACACTTCTGGCTTTCAACAGAAAGGCAAATATGAATGTAAAAATAAAGCTGCCATTGTTACCAAGCCCTCCTTAAACTAACAAAGGACCTCTGGCCTTCTAGCAGTCCTCCACACTATGTAAACATGCAATTAAAAGTCCTTTGAGGTATCTGAAGTCATTAAGAATAAGCTACTCTCTCTATGTAGGAAACCTCTTCCAAAATCACACTGTAGAAATGTTTTTAAGGAAGAAATTTCTAAACAACATCTCAAACTCAAGTGCTGACTGAGTCTTATGCTTATTAAGTCTGACTCTCCTAATAGAGCAGTAGAAATCAGCCAGCAACCAGGACCTGAAATACTTTATTAGTTCCCTGACAAGCTATATAAAATCATTGATCCAAAACTAAAAACTTGAGCCCTTTCTTTAATAGGAGGTAGCACAACTGACCCTGCTGAAAGAAAGGCTAAGACTTAGTGTTGCCAAGAAATGTGTTGGTCTTGCACTGAGAAATGGTAATAGCAGTTGTGGTAGCAATGGGCTGCTGTTTTAAGAGTACCAGGATAAAAATTGCCTACAGTTACCCTGACCTGAGACCTTCTGGACTCCAGGATGCTTGTGCTGCTGGTGATCCTGAGTCCTGTTTTCTTGCAGGAGAACAACATTGTGCACTGAGACAGGTCACCTTCCCCCACCTCCCTCAGTAGGACCAGTGCAGCTGCTCCAAGGCTTTCTGTGGACAGTTACCAGGACCCTGGACTCAGGCACCCCCATCTGCTGCTGAGCCCAGTTTGGGACTTTTCTGGTTGGGACATAATTACCAACTGAGGAGCATGGCTTCCACAATTGCATATCTAGTCATATCTTTGAATATGTTTATATATATTTTCATATAATTCACTATAATTGTTATTCATTATTTCATTCAACCTGTTCTATATTTTTTTCCCAAACTTTAAGTCTCTCTCCCTTATTCCCTTTCTATCTTTGTCTGGGAGGGTAAGAGAGAGCATCTGTCACCTGGTTATTGGCTAAAACCTGACAGTTTTTTAATATGTTTTTGCTGCAGTGTTGTTTTGAAGCAGCCAGATGGAGACAACTAGAGAAATAATTAACAAAAATAAGATATAATTAGATAAAAAGATATACTACAAAAGGAAAGATAGACTTCAGATAAATGAGTTAGCTGCCCTCTTCCTTTCTGCTCCGAGTCCATCAGACTTTGCTTGACAAATAGCAAGCACAGAGTCTATTTGTTTGCCTGCATAGCTTTCATACCCAAAATTTCTTTACAAATAGTCTCTGGCAGCCTTTGAAGCCTTCTGCTTGAAATGAGATAACCAAAGAGTGCCCTCATGAAGAGGAACCATTCCCAGTTCTTTCCAACAAACACATTAGTTTCGGGGAAAGGGACCTTGAGACAGATGGGGCAAATATGCAACGCAGCACTGAGAAGACAGAATCACCTGAGAAGCCCCATAGCTTTTGAGAACACCTGCTTTCAGACTGGGAGGAACTGGCTCCTTTGTCATGAAGGAGCATTGCAGTTTCCACTGTCATTTAAAAAAGATGTTTTTTGCCCTAACAGTGCAAACACCAGCCCTTTGTCTAAACTGTGAAACGTCTTAAAATATTCTCTTTCTACTACTTTTCTGCCTCAAATCAGCCTTCACAAAGGGAAATATGTTACTGAACATAGTTTATTTTCCCCTGTAGAGTCTTTACACTTGCTGTCCTGGTTTGAGCCAGGATGAAGCCAATTTTCTTTTTGCTATTTTGTTTTTCCTCCAGTAAGCTTTCTTTTAACTAGCAACAGTGTGCTCTAGCTAGAGCTGATAAGACACTGGAATATTTTTCTAACTACTGAGGCTTCAAGGTCGCACCGGCGTTTTCAATCCGTCGGGAAATTCAGCAGAATTGCTTGTCATTGCTATCTGAGAGATTATTCCTTCCATCAGAGATGGAATTTTGAACACTTCCAATTAATGAAAATGAGTAATCTGGGCTTAAAATCATGCCCCACGTTGGGTGCCAATAAATTGTTGTCACCGTTTGACTCAGGTCCGACAACAATGCTCTCGATCCCCTCCCCCTCCCACCCAGGTAGGGAAGAAGAGAGAGAAAAAGAGAGAGACTTGGCTGGATTGAAAACTAAACTACACAGCTTTAATTAAAACACTAATGAATAATGTAAGAGAATATATACAATTATATGCAAATATGTTCAGACATGGGCAAAACCCTCTCGCCTCCCCCCACCCTCAGCAACTCCCACAGCATCTCCTGAGCTGTGAACAGTCCCGAGAAATCCCAGCGCTGCTGGAGAAAGCACAGAGTGATGAGGGTCAGGAGAGCTCAGGCCTAAGGGTCGACGGTGATGGATAAACAGAGTCCTCCCTGGACACTGGCCATGGACGGAAGAGAAGAGGAGAAAAAGAAGCAGGAAGGAAGTTGCCTTCTGTGATCTCTGACCTTCCTCTGAGCTTACGTAGATATATGGAATGGAACATCTCTGGCCCATTTTGCTGTCTAACTTAGCCTCCTATGGGGGGGGTCACAGATCTCCTCGTAGTGTCTGAGCTGGCAACCTTGAAGCCTCAGTAGTTAGAAAAACATTCCAGTGTCTTATCAGCTCTAGCTAGAGCACACTGTTGCTAGTTAAAAGAAAGCTTACTGAAGGAAAAAAAATTAGCAAAAAGAAAATTGGCTTCATCCTGGCTCAAACCAGGACACTTGCCAAAATGCAATCAAACATTCCAGGCTGTGTATCAGTCTACCAGGAAGTTCTCCTTCATTACATTTGAAGGTGTGAAGGCAAATAACTGTGGTAAACAGATTTCTTCTTCTTCCAGCTAAACAGTAAATCATTCATATTGCTGTCAAGCCTAGGAAGGAAGGATAATTATTTTCTTCCCCTCCTCACTGAAGCAGCAGCAGGCTTTGTACCCGAGCACAGAGAACTAAGACAGTCATCTGTTTGAAATTCAAGTTGTCTTTGGTTTTGTTCATAATGAAATATTTTAATTTCATGAAACAGCTGAATCTTCAATGAGATGTCTGATACTATACTGTATTACAGTTCCCACTGACTCTGTGCTAAACTTAGCCAAAACTAAAATAAAAAAATTTAGTCCCTTTCCATTCTACTAATAGGGATGAGTCTTGTCCTCAACAGTTAGAGTTAGGGAGAGACCTACACTAAGAGTAGGGTGAAAGAGACATCTGCTGCTGTTCTGGAACCAGCAGAGGATTAAGTCTGCAAGTTTGTGACCAGAAAAGAGAGCAGCTTTGCCCAGGCACTGCTCACTGCCCAGGCTGGTGGTAGGGAGTGGGGTAAATGGAAGCCCTTGGCACAGGCCCTGCTCTTTGCTTTCCTCTCACTTCCATTTCTTTAGGAAACTCTTTCAGCACATTTAGGACCCCTGATTTAATGTTGGACCTGACAACTATGCTGTATTTTGTGCAATTCCAACCTGGAGTGGGTTGTAAAATATACTGAATTTGGAACTATTTTATTTTAAAGCAATCACACTGTAATTCTTGAGCCATGGTTCTCAGCCATGGTTTCATTAATTTCATTAATCTTTGAGCTCAACAGTTTTAAATGTATGAAATACAGGAACCTCAGTAATACATGTACTTCAGAATAAGTTAATTAGGAAACAAATACTTCAAGTTGCCAAGTCGTATCAAAAATATCTCCATACAAAATAAGCCGTAGAAACATGTCCAGATAGTAACTGAAACATTCCAGCTTCAACTTCTGGCTTGTTGTTTGTTTTTCTCTAATGCTTTTCTTCTTTCAAAACTTTGAATTCCCCTTTTGTCCAGTTTCAAGTCCCTATCAACAATCCTTTTCATGCAAGAAACTGAACAATGTTCTTTCTGTGACTATCATTTAAACTTCCTGACAAAATACTGATGCACTAGTCTGTATTTGCTGTAAATATATATGACTCCTCTCCTACTACCTTTGTATACACATGCATTTTGATAAAATCTTTCATTGGACACTCAAAAACTATGAATGACTGTTGCAGCATTTAAAAATCTGAATTAAAAAACTCCAGGAAAATGGTACCAGGGTATGTAAGATTGGTCCCACATCAATTTTGTCTTAATTGCTTAATATCTATAGAAATAAAAGTTATAGTTCATTATAATGGCAATATTGGTTGTAGCGTTGGTGTGCTGGGTATGGCTTTGCAAGTTGTTATCATGAGTCATCTGTAGTCATCTTCTCAAAGAGGAGAAAATCTGTTGATGACACTCACAGTGGCACCCAAAGCTTTGCCTGTCCCTTATATAAGTCACATAATTGAGAGGTATAGATACAACATTTCTGTTCACCATAATAATTTGTCCCTAGTATAGCTGGTCAGACATTCCACAAGAGGAGAAGTAATGGGCTGAATCATAAACCCTGCAAAAATTCTCAATCAAAATGTTACTACTGAAGAGTCATTCATTAACAGCTAACGATGTGCTCAGAGACAGCATTGCTGTCTGCACAAAAAACACACAGACTGTACTGATTGCAATTTAAAACAAATGAAATAAAATATATAGTTAAATAATTTAAAAGTTATTTTAAAAAAGAGAAAAAAATCAAAGGAAATGCCAAAAGGATAAAATGTTTATAAGCAACCAAAACACTGCTTAAGACAGTAACATTTCAGAGAAGCTGTGCATTTATTATATATAGTATATATATCTATTATAACCTCTATAAATACATCATGTTGATGTAATTGATATAATTTAATAACATATATGATTTAAATATAAAATTAAATTATAGAAATAAAATTTTAGACGTGGAATATTAAGAGTCCAAGAACGAGCAGTAGACTCTAGAGCTGTCATACACCTCAAGATTCAGCAAGACTACTTTCATTTGGTCCATGGATTTACAAGTAGTGTCAGGATTTACAGTGACTTAAAACAGGTGTATATTTAGTACAGAAGAAATCAATGCAGCTCTGTAGAAGCAATGCAGCTTTGCAGGAAGATACTGACTGCAGCTTCTTTCAAAGTCTATGAAAAGTAAATAATAATTACTTTAGATGTTATGCCTGTGCAAATATTGAAAAACATCATAGCACAGCTGTGCATTACATACCAGCTGACTCTCTGTCATCATAGGTGCGGATTTGTAAAGGCTGGCCTGCAAAAACATAAATATATACAGTATTACATACACCATTCCACAGTTAATGGTTCCTAAATGAGGAAGCAATGCGTTCACATTTGTCATTTCACTTGTATTTTTCTGACCTATTTTAAGATGAGGAAAAATGCATGGACATCAGTATTCTTAATTACAGAAACTTCTATCACTGATGCAATGATGCGCAATTGGTAAGAGAAGTTAAAATGTTGTAATTTCCATTTTATCTCCAGGCATAATCAAATACAAATGCCCATTGATAAAATTTTATGGATACTTCTTTCTATGTGCTACAACATTTTGCTTTTTAATCTTGATCTAATCTTGAAAAGTAAATCCTGACATTTCTGAACGTGTCTTTGTCTGTTAATTTGCAGCAGCAATGTTATAAACACTGCCAATTGAGTGGGGAGCTCAGTACAACCTTCTCATCCTTCTGACTTGACATTATGAAAATTAGAACAATCCTACTTGAGCATCATGTTTTTTTCTGAGTGCACACTGAACAGAGCAGAAGCTCTGTTCTCAAGATCAAGGATAAATGTGCAAAATGCAAAGTATTTTTGTTTGTATGTGAACTGGTCACATGCCACATGCATATTTGTCTGTGCTGTGGAAAGATTCAAGAATTCTGGTGATCAGCTCCTTCAAACTCTGTAGGAGCTCCTCTGGCTAACACAGTATTTTTTTCTGCAGAGATAACACAGTCTTCCTTTCTGTCGGTGTGATTTATATGCCTTGAGACCCTGAAATGTTAATATTCCTCAGTATGGTGGTAAAAAGAAAGTACTAGATACAATGGTTAGATATTAATATCTGTAGTATAAGAAAAGTCATTGCCATTACAGCCTGTACCCTCTGTAAAAGGACCACTGTAGTTGGACTTTTGATGACTCAAATATGCCTTCTTACAGTTTCAAGTAGAAAAGTAATATCAGCACATTTGAAGATAGAAGAACATGTTCTTCCTTTGTTTCCCCATGACAATGATATTGCAGAGTTTTGGCCACAGAATTCCAGATGTGGTGTCCCAAGGACTAAACAAACTTGTTTAATCACTCCCTGGACCTGCTGGCTCTACTTCTCTGTTGGTGATGAAAACAGCATCAGCATGAATCATGGTGGAGGCCAGTGCTGCTTACTGAGAGCACTCACATCTCTGAACACAGCCTCAGGTAAAGGAAATCTTTCCACCCACACAGGGACAGCTGTGATTTAGCACTATATCTACAAGTACATCTTCTGCCCTTGAAAAAGTAAACTAAAGTTTTTACTAGTAGTTACTTACATATTAGGGACTCTCTTTCATGCCATTAACCAAGTGTGGTGAACAATCTCATTCTGAGCTTAAAGACATCAAAGCACTTCAGAATGATCTACAGATACAAGTGGCTGAAATTAAATTCTCTCACTTTGGTGGTCCAAATTAAGAGTAAATCCCATTTCAGAGGGATTACCTGAAATATACATAAGCACAGCAGAGCACTGATAAAGAAAAGTGCTACTTATTTCTGCATGTCTGTGTGCATTTTTAGCTGCTTCACATTTCCCTCTTTTTTCACTTCTCAGTTTCCTGTCCGTAACACTTAAATAAGAATTTTTGTAGAATAAAATTGTTAATAAAACCCAAAAGTGTTAAGAATATGCCAAGTAATTATTCCATTTAATCACAAGAAATTATTTTTTAAATACTTGTAAGTGGGGCTAACTGATAAAAATTACAAATTTGCAAGAACTTGAAACTACAGTTAAGAAAGCTTTCCTTGATTACAGCAATTATGTGGAAACACAATGGCTAAGTAAATCGATTAGGGCACTCAATACCCATAAAAAGTGATTTATTTAGAGTTATTATGTTTATATTATTAAAAATCAGCAGTATCATCACTAAAGCCAGCAGAGATGCTTTATTATTAAACTGTGAATGGTATCATATCAAAAGTGACACCATTTAAAAAGCTGTTAAATTACAACTGAAGTCAGACCTTTTTCAGAACTTTTTATACACTCTCTTACTATTTGTGCATTCATTTACATCCTGAAAAGGTTCTGAAGTGCACGAGGAGGCAAAGAGTGATTGAGCCCGAGGCAAATATATGACATTTTAATTGTTAAATCACAGGATATTTCAACACTTTTGTGTAGTCTACTTCTGCATATTGAAACAATTAGTATTGTGTACACATGCGTATACATATATATGTGCTTGTGTGATTGAAAGTAGTATTTTCAGATGATGACAGATGTTCCTATCCTTGACTCATAAACAATTTATTTTTTTTTATTTTTTTTTTTTTTACTAAAAACACCCTCTAGGCAACATTTTGACAAGCATCTCAGTCTCATACATTGTGCATACAAAAATATTAAGAATATGATATTGCTAAATTACCATTTTAATTCTTTCTAGCTGAATGAATTCAGTTGCATAAACTAAAAGCCTGCATCTAAAAAAAAAAAAAAAATTGCTAAAAAAGGCTGGCTGAAAGTCATTACTCCAAGACATCTCACATGAGACACCACAGACCTCCTGGGGGAACTCACAATTTTATATGATGGTAACAAGTGCCTACACAATATTCAGTCCCTGATTTCTACTGGAGATACTGTTAGATTGGCTCAAAATTGGAATCCTGCTTCAAAACAGACATCTTGTATGAAGAAATGTTGCCCCACCTGGACTACATCTCCTCTAGTCAAGAAAAGTCAGCACACACACAGCTTAGGTCTTTGCAGTTAATGTTTAGCACCATCTCTTGCCTGCTTTGGTCCACCCCAACAACCACCCAGTGCAGTCCAGAGGGTCATGGAAGGTAGATGCTCCCCGTAGGCTGAAGAGACAAGGGCACCCTGGGCCTTGTTCTGGGCTGGAGGGCTTACTTTGAGGGGTGAGAGGAGGAGTAGGAACGGAAGAAAGCAACTCTATGGAAAACTATCTCACTACACCCCTGCCCTGAGGGGCAGAAGACAAGCTTCCACCTGGTTTATGAGCTGGGACAGAAATACCCTTTACACATCCTACCAAGGAGGCAGAGCAAGAGAGGAGAACAAGCTGTGACATATGGGGGCTGTTAGGGACACCTGACCATTCCTCAGGAGTCTCTGCTGCAGGACACAGTGATGCCAGAGTCCAGGAGAGCCTGGACCCACAAATTTCAGCCACCAAAGTGCAGCCTGGAGCCTACAGTCTGTTAACAGTTACCAGTTTCTAACTAAAAAATAAAAATTCATCTTACATACACGTACAATTTATAAGAAAGGCCAGCATACCCATAATCTTCTGCATTATTCCTAAATGTATAATAAATACTGATTTATTTATTTTTTTTAATTTATAGAATGCTGCAGGGGAGACTAGGAGGGAAGAATTTGTTAGGGTGATTTTCTATGCCAGCAAAGAAAACCTAACTGTATCTTTAGGCACAGAAGTTGGATGCCTGAATTTATGGCATATGTTAGCTACAGTTTTGAGAGATGGAGATCTGCACTGAAGTGGTATTAGATATGTTCCACTCTCACAGACTACCTCTGATACAAACTATTTTATTTCATTAAAAATCTCTCTTCCCATATCCTTTCTAATTAGTATGAGCCAGCACAATCTGTCAAGTAAAAATCACAGTATGCAGTAAAATATGCATACTGCCACACTCAAGAAGTAAAATTGAATTGATCAGTCAAGCACTGTGCTGGCATAAAACTGGAAGGCCTCTGTTGCTTTGCCAGCACTGCTTTGATTTGAGGTTCAATAGAAAAGCTGAGAGATGAATAGTAAGCAGAGATTTCTCACCACATGACTAGATTAGTTGTAATTATGCAACCCACAGTCACTGTGTGTGCTAGCGAGAATTCAAATGTTAATTGGGCTTAATGTGTCAATAATTGAACAGATGACTCAATATAGAGATTTTCTTTATATGTTGGAACATGGGTATTTGTGACAAAACAGCTTCTGTTCATCTAAAGCTAAACTGTAGTTTTTAAGCCAGCTTTATACTTTGGAAGGAAAAGCCAACCCCAAATTCTGATGCAAAGGCAAGAACCTTCTACCAAAGCAAGTCCCTTGCCATGCCTGTTGAATCCAAATAAATATATCCTTCAGCACTCGTAACAGTCTGTTTGCCAAATAGCTGAGGTCTTTGCACCATGCTCAAGTTAAACAACAACAAATAAGTGTGTGAATAAATAATTTTGACACTACATTTGTACCAGTTAAATTATGACTAGACACCACACTGACAAGACTCCAGCCATCACGGATTTATAGCAGTGGGAAGATATCTCAAGTCTCAATTGCCAGTGCTCTAACATACTCAAATCTCTCTACTGGAGTCAATACCTCATGTCATGAGTAGATGCCTGTGCCTGCTACGTGCAGTATCACCCAGTATCACAACAAGAATAGACAAAATAGACATTTCTGCATGCAAAACACAGAGTAATTATACAAGTACTTACATATCTGGTTTCACGTCCAGTTGCTTTCTGCAGCTTTGTGGACATCTTGTACAAAATAAACATAGAAATTAAGAGCATAAATTTACTCTGAGGAGTAACTCAAAGAGGTTTTCATTATTGTGACATGTAATTAATTGTTTAAGTTCAAGAAAACTTTGGTTTTCCAGAAAGATTCATCAGATCCATGAGAATAAGGTATATAAGTGTTGTGACATATGTTTATGGTTGAAAATATTTCCTTTTTACTGCTCAGAAAGCTTCAATCACACTCTATCAAAGTTGACCTTTAAAGTACTTCTGAGAATTCTCGTAGAAAAATACTCATGAGTAGAAAGCCACAGGTGTGCTTGCCCCATGAAATTTAACTTAGATTTGCTCACTGAATAACCTGAAATATCCTCTTTCCTTGTTCTCATTTGCAAGAACTTGCTTTCATCTGACTAGTGTTTCTTTAAAACATACACTTTTTCCTTACTGTCTCTGACTCTCTTTTACCTTCATTTTAAGCACTTTACTCTCTCATTCTAAGGTACTCACAACCTTTAGCTTGGTCCCTGTGCTGCATCCTGTTAAAACACCCCTTTTTAGTCCTTTGTTAGATTTCATGGATGCTAATTGGTACCTTCCTTTTGGTCAAGGCTCAGTTCTCAGTTGCCCAAGGAAGTAAGTGTTAGATGCTAGAGCTCAAAAGTCCAACTTAATCCTACCATTTCAACCCCTTTGGATTCAGTAGAGGCATTGGAAAACACTTCCTCGTTAAGTCTCTGCCTGCTTTGCCAGCTACTATCCTGCTTCTGTCTTTCAGCTGCCTGATTCATCTCTGTGTGCTGGTTGACAGAAGTAGTTTCAAAAATCAAAATTAAATTTAAAGTGTATATTGAATATACCTACTCAGGAGTTCTAGTGCTGTGCCTTATTTTTCCATGTTGGACTGGACATTGTGCAGGATATTTTGAATTGATTTTTTTTATGTGTTCCTCTGCCAGAAATTCCTTTTCTCTTGCTTCCAGTGGGATTTCTGAAATTTTCACTTTCCTATAGCTACTAATACTAATTGAAATTTTCCTGGGGAAAACTGAATACAGGACCCTCCTCCCTTGGAAAGCACTAATGACTGTGAAAAACTTTTGTTCTGAAAGATGTTTCCAATCAATGAAGCTAGAAACAGTAGCGGCTCTGTTGCAAGGACCCATAGGTGGGATGAAATCTGGGAGATGGCCAGAGACCTGCCATACAGAAGGCAAGGTATGAAGGATTTCCTTACCGTGGATCCCACTCTCTGAAACTTTAATGAACAGCTCCTATTTCACAGTATAACTACTTCTGACTTCAGGAAAGCCTCTGTAACCTACACTGCACGGACTCCAGGGCTATACTTCTGTCCTTCCACGTCTTTCAAAGCACCAGATAATTCAACTGATGTCGCATCTCTTAATTGAAGCTTTCTGTTGCCATAGGCTTTACTGTTGTGATTTTGTTTGCTTTATGCCTACATGGAAAGGGCATTAAGGCTTATTTACCTACCTTGCCAACATCTGACTCCATGTTCATCTGCAGAAAACTTGGAGAAGATTCACATCGGCGCTGGGAAAGGATTTTCAAAAGACAACAGACTCATTAATAGCAAGAGACAAAAGTAAGGGAAGATAAAAAGTCAGTCCCACATATCGATGCGTTACCATAGTCAATGGGTCCTGCAGGACTTGATCAATGACAGCACACAGCTCTTCTGTTTGTTGTCTGAGCTGGGCAGGGGAGCACATCTGAAAAAGGACACATCACTCAATTGACCCTTGCTTTTCATTTTCAAATGGAGATTTGAAAGTGGTGTAATAGCACTACCTCTGAATGGGTATCCAAAGCAGTTCCTTCAGTCTCACTAGGAGTCTTGGCCGGCTCTTCTAATGCCTGGAATTGAAAAGATTTTGGTGTGATAATGAGACCAAAATTTAAAAAAAACAAGCAAACATACATTTTCTGCAATACTGTGCTTTCAAATGTGGCACTATTCATTTCACCATGAAAGGATGGAAAAAGAAGAAATTACAGGCCCAGTAAAGTTCTTCAAGTTACCAACTTCTGATTCTTGATTAGAAGGAGTAGTTTACAGAGAAGAATACAGTTAAATGAATTGTCTCTGCTTTTATAGATCAGAAACCACCTGCTTCCGATTTGACCTAAATTGTTTTCTCCCTCAACAACTCCACCCTCCTCCAAAGTGAATGTAATGGAGCAAATGTGCCACACAGGGATCAGGGGGTTGCTTGTCATGGAAAAGGCAGGGGTCCAAGCATACAGGAGGCTCTACAGAAAATTTCTGTAAAAATTGCTTCCTGTTTAAAGAGGATTGTAATTCCACACTGCAACAAAAACAGAGCTTGAAGGTTTTGGATTTTAACTCAAAATCAGAATTGTATAGAATGAAACATACACTATACCTATATGATACCACACTAAAACAGAGCTGGTCTAAGCAGGCACGTGATTTCTCCACAACTAAATGCAAGTTTCTTGCTCTTGGGTATACTTCCTTCTTTTCTAATCCCGTATTTGGAGCAGGTTTGGGAACAGTGGGAATCAGTTTGTTGATCCCTCTGCTTTATCAGGAAACTCACAAAACATCCTCAAAAGCCAAAATCCAGTGCTCAGCTTCCTTTTTATCTTCCTCCAGTATCTGCAAAGCATAATCTCACCACTAGCACCCATTTTTGCTTTGAAGCAATTTTCAAATCAACCCCGTGCCAAGAATAAATATTACTCTGGAAGTCTGCTGATGCATGAAACTAGGTTATGGGGGAGGGACCTGCAGGGCATGTGGATTTTTTTTTAACACATTTTTTTTTCAGAGGTTTCATTTTGCTGCTTATTTGAAATAAAAAATAATTTAATATATATATATAATTTTCAAAAGCATTCCTATAAAACACTTCCACGCATTTGGGATTTTGTGGGAACAGACTAATCCCACTGAGGTCAGTATCAGGGCTGCCAGTCACAAAAGCCATATATATTGCTCGGAGGAAAATGGCAGAATCTTTTTTTTAAAATAGATTAAAAAAAAACCACCACCACAAACCACTTCATAACTAAGTAATTATTTCAGAGTTTATGTTTGCTGAGTACAATTTTTTTTCTCTCCTTGTCCAGCTACAAGCAGCACACATCTATGTATTCTGAACTGAAAAGCTAATGACAATTTACTTCAAATATTATTTTCATACTATCCACAAATGATCCTGCACAAAAGCATATTTACTGTCACCTATCAGAGAGTACAGTAAGGAAAAATGATGAGTAGTTTCTTTCCAAACACATTTCTTCCCTCCCCTACAGCTCTTGAGAAACCTGTTGGCCTTAAAGTAGCTGTAGTTCAAAATGAAAAAAAAAAAAGAGAAGAATTTATTTTTTTTTTTACATACAGAAATGAGTATAATCTTATACCAAGGCAGAAGATTTAAAAATAAGTAGCCTGTCTCATCTCTGCTATCTCCGCACTGTCATCCAGCAGAATTCTCAGATCAAAAGTCCTATTGAGGAGGAGGGCTCTGCTGAAGAGGGCTCAGGTCTACCTGCACTTGAGTTCTTTGTCCCTGGTTCAGCTTCAGCTGAGAATACATCCTCCTGGTAAACATAAAATGATAAAACGAAGTAGAGGAGTTCCAGTGCTAATTGTCTCCAGAACTGCCAAATCAGTCTTTAGACAGATGATGAGTCTGAATGTGAGTTAGGAAAAACAACAAATATTAATCAGTCATGGGTTTGGAATGGACAAATTGCTAAGTTTGTCAAAATCCTCAAGATACCAGTAGAATAATGAACATAATAAAGTAATTGTTAAGAAAAAAATACACGTTTCTGTTTCATATTCACTTCATCAGAGAAGTGGGACTAAGTGAACACCATCAAGGGCAAGAACTACCCAAAAGATACCGAGGAATCTTTCTAGAGGAACTACAGCAACAATCACAAGTGTGTGTTCAGAACCAAGACACTGACTAATGTAAGTATGAACATCCTTCAGTTTCAGCAGAAATTTGATACCCAAATATCTTTTCATTTTGGAGCCTTTATTGACTAAAGAACCCAGGTGAGGATAGCACCAAGGCCTGTATTCCCCACGGTCCCCCTGAGACACAGCTATCATGCAGGAGCCATGCTAGAGAAAGCTGTAGTGTTCTCTTCCCTTTTTGAACCTTTGTGAAAGGAATAATTTTAATCTTCAAAGTGATCCATCTTATTTCCTTCATTTTTGTTTTATCTTTTTTTTTCCCCCTTTTTTTTTTCTGTTTGAACTGCCTGAGTCCTCCAAAGAAAGAGAAGAGAATGACATTTTAGACATCCCTGTCACCTCAACAAGGAAAGTGTGTCCTGTTGTTTGCTTTTCACAATAGAACTCTTTTTTATTTTCCACCAGTGCTTTTCTTTTTTATATATTTCTGCACAGAGAAAAATGTGGAATGAATAAAGATCGAGTAGCATTTCTGAATGGAGTTATAATGCAATATGATTAATTTAAAGTATTAGTGCTATCTGCAGTACTGTTGATTAGCACTATCAACAGCATTCAAGCTCCAGTTCTTATGCTGATGGTCTAACAATATAAAGAGTGGAACATTCCTATTTAGGGCTTCAAATTTTTTATATATATATGAAAAGCATCAATGGGGCCACTACTTAAAAGAAGAATGCAATTTCAAGAATGAAAATGCATTTGTGACAGAATTTAAAGTTTGGATGAAATAACTAGTTGCTGAACCACTATTTTTTTTCCATTTCAAAGGGAAACTTTAAAGGTGGAATGTATATATGTCATTAACGTCAATGACAACTGCAACCCTTCCCTCCTCTTTTCCCAAAGCTATTTGGTTGCTAAAGCTGAATGGGAGCTGAAAGTACACTGGTAAATCATCCAAACGGGATCTCCAATACTTTGTTAGATTAAGGAAAGCTCTGACAACATATAGGAAATTGTTTCATCCACCAATGAACCACTTTCATTGTGTAGGAGAAAAAAAACAAATGTTTTAACCTGGATCTAAGACAGCTTCCTTCTTACTGTATTATGAAAATACTGGGCTCAGCAAATGCCACAAAGTTTCCTTTTTAATTTCCCTTGCATATTTTTCCCATCAATATATTTTCCTAAACCTTCAGCACATGCAAAAGAAAACCAAACCAAAACCTTCTGCAAAACAGAGCTTCATATTCCATGAGTTCCTTTAACTTATTCCTTGAAGATACTGGGAGATGGTACTGAAAAGACCTGACTACTTTTGGGTTTGGTTTTTTTATTTCCTTTTTCTTTGTTTCCTCCACTAGGACTGCTGACAATCTGCTGTGTAGGTAATAGGACACAACTACCAGGTCCTTGGAGTTTTCCTGGAAGTGTAACATCATATGGTAAGACTGTTTTAGTCTCTCTTGAAGTCAGCCAAATTGCACTGTGACAGGAGAAAACATGAAGAACAGCCATCAACACACAAAAATCTATACACTCATATACTTATTATTTAAGACAGAAGACTTTTAAAAAATTATTTAAAATTGAAATTATAGTACTGTACTTGTAATTAGTTGATAAATACAAGCCAGATAAATCAACATGGCTTCTATTTGCACCTCTTCCATCCATAACCAGTTAGATCTAGTGTTTTTCAAGGACTTGGTGAATGTGGGATAAGCCTTGATCGCAAAGCAGGTGCACTTCATGGCACACCCCATCACCCTTGTTTCATCACAGTCCACGCTGGGGGAAGTCTGAGGAGAACTATCATCCTCTCGGCTGCAGGGTTCATTATCACAGTCTGTGGACCTGCCTCATCACTGTGAATCTGCAAGTCTATGATGGCACCACTGAATGACCATGGTTACCACCACCTCATTCTCACCCTCTCTCTTCTCCTTGCTCAGGCACTGTGGAGCTGTGCTGTGTTGGTGAAGCCTTGCTGTGAGCCTGGCTCCCAGTTCATTTTACCCAGGGAGCAGCCAGTTTTTGCTGCTCCCTGACAGCCTGACCATGCTGAGGATAAGCCCCTGAAAAACAAGGTTTTGCTCTTCTGGCTGTGAAGGAGGTTGCAGCCCAATCTTCCAGGAGATATCCTGGATTGGGTTTTTTCTGAGCAATGCACAGGTGATGTGAGGAGCATCAGGTTTGTCCAAAGTCAAACAGCAGGAAAGCATGTCAGTTATGAGATTTTATGAGATTAAGCAATTTGGGAGGTTGCCACAGTATACACTTACATAGTCATCAAGTCTTTTCTTCTCTGCTAATGAGCTCAGATTTGAACAACCCACTTTGAATAAGCATACTGGAGGAAAATAACATGTTCTAGAAAAACTATTAAGCTGATGGTAGCCTCATGGCTTCATAAGAATAAGCTGGAGAATGCTGGCTGAAATGAAAGCATCTACACACTTAAAAGAAAAGATTGACTACAGAAAGAAAGTTAGACACAAAGAGACAATTTAGAAGCAGACAAAGCATTATACCTTACATCAATGGCAGTTTTATATCATGGGCTCTAAGTAATACTGCACGTGAATTGTCACTAGAATCACTAACATCACAGTTCTGACTAATCGTATTTCTCATTACCACTCAACTAAAGTAACAGAATTACTCACACAGTAGAAAAACTTTTCTTCTGACAATGTGCATTTCCAGTTCAATTGCAGAGCACAACACTTTTTTAGCACTTTAGGCAGATTATGTATTGCTAATCATGCATTAGCTCAGTAATCTTTCTGCCTTTCAGACAGAATACACATCTTACATGTCTTCCTTCCTTGTTAAAACAAAAAGCCACTGGAAAACTTATTTTCCACAAAAACATCATCTTCATCTAAATAAAACATCATTTATTTAGGTAAAATCTGATTGTCTGGAACATCTCTCTTTTTAATCCTGTGCATAAAATGCATTCCATGCAGTTGGAGAAAAAATAATTAATGTGATTGAGCTACAATGTGGCACAAGTCCCACCCCATGTCCTTCCCCAGTGTTTTTGAAGAGAATACTTGGATATTAAGGCTTGCTACAATGGGCCCTGTGTGTGCCATGTGAGTCCTTCATGCTTCTTCAAGAGCCATTCTCCAAATGCATGTCAGCTAGCACAACAGGACTGTCTTAGTCTCCTTATAATTAGCTGCTGGTATGGATCAGTAGGAGATTATAGTCCATAATTCCCAAGATGAGAGAAAGTATGTAGTCAGGCCATGCTAAAACATACAAAGTAAAACAGTCAAGAGCCTCTCCTGAAAGCAAATCCTGTAGCAGAAAATGGATTTCTTATTAGTTTTACATAACTGTGCTTTCACTGCTGAAGGATACACCAAAATCTAGCATTGTCAATGGAGCAGTCAATGACCCAAAGTCCCTATTTAAACACAGGTATCTTTTGAGTCATTACTTTTTCTACAGGTAGTTGTACAACTCAGTTTTATAAATAGCACACAGTTTGTGAGGCAGTGCTCCATAGAGCATCAGCAAGACTGTCAAAAGGAATCCCCTTACTTTTGAAAAAGTCCAGTCAGATGGCTGACATCAAACCACTAGTTCACATCAGGAAGTGAATTCCCTGCTCAAACTCACATACCTGGCTCAGTTTGCAAAGCAGTGCAGTCTTATAGAAGACCAACTCAGTGCCCTTTAGCTCAAAATTCCAGCCACTAACAGACACTCTGCCCAGACAAAATCCTCCCAAAATGCATTCCATAAAGGTGTAGGATTCCCTGTGTCAGCTATTTTGATTGCACCCTAATGCAGACAGCCTTCATTAGTGCATTCAAGATTTAAGAAAGTGAAGGATGAGGTTTTATGCAAATAATTTTAAAAAAAATCAAGATTAAAAGAACATTGGAAATTAAGGAATGTTCCTTTAGAAAAAAATAATAATCTGATTAAGTGATAACTACTAGATCACAACCAGTAATATTTCAAGGACAAAACTATGATCTTAAAAACATTTCCACCATTAAGTTCACCCTTTCTGATGTCTTCAGGCTCTGCAAACTCCCAGTGAAACTAACTGAGCTGTGAATGAGAACACATATTTCAAAGTGTAGTTCAGAATGCTTAATCTTACAGAATTTAATCAAAGCCTGAGCTCCCAAACTCAGTCCACTGAAAGATTTTTCTGATAAAGCTGTAAACTGATGTCAGAGTGATTAAGCCTGCCTTTAAACATGTAAGACACTTAGCTCATTGCTCAACAAAGGAAATCTTTCTTAAAACTCAGTGAGGTATTCTTTTGTGCAAAACTAACTTAGGAAATTAAAAAAAAACAACAAAAAAACACTGAACCCTTCTCACAAAATTTGGATTTTCAATTGACTTCCAAAGATGCATTATCTAAATAAGTATTGTAGAGCCCAGCCTTTGTTGACTTTGTTTTTGGTAGTAAATAAATATACTTAAGACTGTTATTTGGATCTATCACATTATCCCAAACTACATACTGGGAACAGACCCCTGGCCCATGCTAACTGTCGAAGTGCTGAGGGCAGTTGGTTGGGAGAATGGCAGTTAACAGAGGCCAGAGAAATGGCCAGGACCATTCTTAAAGTTTAACAATACATCTGGTCAAATTTGCATATGGTGGGATGTTAAATGTACTAATATAAGCATAGCCACTGAATAACCACTAACTGACTAAGGCCTCCTGATTGGTAGGTCCCAGAGAATAACTGTGTTCCAGAGACTGTCCAGTAGCAAAACAGACACAGAAGGCAATTCCTTTAGGCAAATTTATTTTTTACAGTAAATGCAGAATCATAGAATCAGTAAGGTTGGAAAGGACCTCAAAAATCTTTGAATCCCACCCCCCCTGCCATGAGCAGGGATCCCTACCACTAGACAAGGTTGCACAAAACCTCATCCAACCTGGCCTTAAAAACCTCCAGGTACAGGGCATCAACAATCTCCCTGGGCAACCCATTCCAGTTCCTCACCACCCTTATAGCGAAGAATTTCTTCCTAACATCTAACCTAATTCTCCCCTCTCTCATGTTTAAAGCCATTATCCCTTGTCCTATCACTATCTTTGATGAAAAGCCCCTCCCCAGCTTTCCTGTAGGCCCCATCAAGTACAGGAAGGATCTATTTGCAGAAATTCTGATAAGTGAGGCTTTGATCTACAGTGCAAAGGGGCTGACCCTGAAAAATTATTGGAATTATAATCCTGAGCAGTTAGTTCCCAGAGTTTGCATTCTGCAATATCCCCCAAAGAAATGTCAGAATATGAACATCAAGTTGAATAAACTCAAATATACAATGCAATTCCCATGTCTTTGAGCAAACACTAACCTTCTGTTCCATAAGTAATGTGTTTGTAGGGATTGCTGCAAATGCCTTGTAGCTTGTCTTGATCTTGTACTGCTAAAAGGGTAAACCAGAAAGCAGGAAAAGAAGTAAAACAGGGTAGAAGAGGGAGAGGGAGAGAGAGGGAAGAGAGGGGAAAGGTACGACAGAATGAAAGACAATTCCAATTGTCTTGCAGACACTTTGCAACAATACAATGCTTATGTATTACCTAGGGAAGCTATTTCTCAAATAAAATCTACTGTTTCTGCTAAGATTTTAAAGGACTGTGGATGTGAATCTTTTACTTTCAGGAATGAAGTAGGAAAACGTGATTTCTTTGCACCAGCTTGTAACTTCCAAAGTGATTTTGGTCACTTTCTGCTGATGATTATCCTTAAATGAATATCAGGAAAGGCTGCAAGTTTTTTCCAAGTTTGCTGGTGATTTGATATGATAATGCACAACTTCAACACCTGAACTTCAACAACTCCTGCTCTGTGGCTTAATCCTGAATTGCTAAATCAGAGGGATTTCTGTGATTGGTTTTAATGAGACTAATTAGGATCCTTTAAAGCTGAATTATTTGCCTGACTGGATAGATCATTTCAGTCATGTCACAGCTTTTCATCTTCTGAATAAGTAACTCTACCACCCAAACAAACATTTCAAGGCAAGTATAAGAGCTTTCACCCTCTAACCAAGCATACAAAACTGACTCTCTAGACCATACAAAATGCATGGTTTGGGGTAAAAAAATTCAAAGATCAGCCTTAAAATTATTCTTTTTAAACAGCATCTATTTCAGACTTTATTACCTTGCCCATTTATTTTTAACTCTTTAGAAACCATAAATTCTATATTTTCTTTGCAATTACAGAGGTTGAATTCAGTAATTTTTAAACAATTGGTGAGAATCTTGTATATTTGCATGAGTTCAAAAGTTATGATTTGTAATCACTTGACTGCTGAAATACTATTTTTTTTTAACAGCTAAATAAGGATTTGCTATAATGTTCACTTTTCAGATACATTCTAATTAAAAAATCATAAATTCACACAATAATACATTTCTAAGTTCTTGATTATTTCTGTGATAGTCACCCAGAAATAAAGTTACCTGGTAATCAATTCAGGTTTTTTAATGCACTGTTGTCTGCAATAGTGAATACTGGGGATTGTGAGATAACAGGCTGAGCAGCATGATGTATTTTGCCTCATTCTTTTGTAACATTTTTCTTTCTTTATATCTAATAAAACTCTAGATGACACAGGAGCCAAATTTTTAATTCAGATAAGAGAAACTTATATAATCTTCACACCTCTCTTGAAATATTGTAGTACACCATCTTTGAATTCTTTCTATGGAGAATATTATGTTTGCTTTTGACTTTACTCATATTTTTTTACCCAGAAGTTGGAGATGGACAGACATTCAGGAAGCCGATAATCACAATAATCATGTTGAATGAAAGGTCTGACAAGGTAGAATAATGCAAATGCTGGAACTGTGCTTTTTGGTTGGTTGGTTGGTTGGATTGCAGGGGGGTGGGGATGGTAATAATTTAAATGAGATTTATGCTTCAGTCAGAACTTTTATACTCATAGGCATTTCTACAGGATAATTAATCTCATTCCAAAATAGGTATCAAGAAAGGTAAAATAAAATCATCCTGTAAATACATCATCTTCTCTTTTTTAGCTGTAATGGAATTGCCCAAGTTGTGCTTGAACACCTAACCTTCTCATGTCAAAAGGCATTGAGTTGAATGCTGCCCTTTGAATACATAGACAACAACACCCTGTGTAGGTTCACTTGGGTATTTATGTATATACAAAATCTACATGCAGATATGACATTAAATACTGCACACTGAAGCAAGAGGGAAAACCAAAATTCCAAATGCTAAAATTGGCATATCCACAAAATTTATCCTTTTTTTATTGCTTATAAGGTTTGCTTATAACTGATATTCAATCAAGAGAATTACCTAACTGAACATGTAAAAGAAATGCAATGTCTTCATCGGCCTATTACATAAGAAGAGATGGGTATCATATATGCTGAGAATACTGGGACCACTTTGAAGTTTGTTCAGTTCATGTAACAGTAGAACTAAGACATATCAGACTGTTAAAATGTAAAAGTTTCTATACTGTTTTAATCTGCTTTATCACTTTCAGATACTGTGGAACTTGTGAGCAATGTGATATTGTCACAGTGTCGTAGATGAAGGGAAAATCTTAAATTCAGTTTCTCATCTATATGAACATGTTTCTTGACACATTAGTTCACACCACTCAAAATTATTCTTTGATGCCTAAATACACTTAATAATCTGGTCCATAGGAATCTAGCAGTATTTTTAAACGGCCATAGACACTTAGGTCTGCAGTCCTGCACTGGGGGCCAGTCAGAAGCAAACCAACTCCAGTATTAAAGCTCTGGCAAATATCAGCCTGGAGACCTTTGGGGAAAATATCCTGCTTTTCTTGCTGAAGTGATTATCTAGGGCACATACAGGATATTTCAAAGTGTGCTAGACACATACCTCTAAAGGCCTATTACTCCTCATGAGTAATCTTTCCTGCTTTGTGGTAGGTTTTGCAGCTGTGCTGAACTCTGTTGCTACAGTTAGTTGTTTCCCAAGCTGTTTTGGGCAGATCTACATGCATTCCTGTGCTACATTCAAATAGGAAAAATCAAAGCATATGTAGGAATAATACCCCATTAAACCAATGCAGAGTTTTCAAACAACAGCCAAAAGTTTTTATTCTAATCTGCTCCTGAAAATCAGAATTTTTTTCTGTCTCTACTTCATCCTACTGTCCATTTTGCTATATTAGGTCCATGAGGACACTATTAAACTGCCTGCAAAGTCCAATGAGAGGATTTTTATTTCCTGTGGTCACCCACAGTTCACACTTCACACCAATTTATGGATTTATGTTTGTAAACATACTTTGCAAAACAGTCATATTTTAAAATAATTCGAAAACAAAAATAAATATATGAAGCATGGGAAAGCATGTGTTTATATATACACAAATGAAAATAGTTTAATAAGTTTGTAGGTTACTCTTTGATTTGCATTAATTGGTGCATGCATAGGCATAGACAGATAAAAGCTCTCCATTAAGGAATTTCATTTGCATAATTGCTTTGATACCATGCTAATGAAACAGTTTGACATGACTACTGAAAGGTACATCTGATGTCAAAATTCTGGTTTAATAGGTGTTGGATTAATACGTCCTAACATTGCTTCGACCACTCTCAAAGCAATATTAAGGTTGCCAAATTACACGTCAAAGCTTTTCCCTCGATATTCACTTAGCTCATTCATACATCCAAAAACTTTGTCATGCATCAACAGTCATCTTATGGAGCAACCTGCTTTCTGTCTAGTTCTAAACTGAGCTGATTGGTACTAATGAGACCTAAATGTTGCTTAGGATGTTAATGTTGCCTCTTCTCAATCCTTTCTTTTTTTTTTATCTGAAAATATACTGAGATTCAAGGCTGGAGTGTTATCTGGGAGCCATAAAGTAGGTATGAAAATAAATGAAAGCAGGAGGAAAAGGGGGTGTTCAGTGCACACTATTATTAACTGTAAATTGAGACTCAGCCTCATTTTTTAAAACCACAACAGACCTTTCCTGCACTGAACACTCAGTTGCATTTCATTTATTTGTTTTAGATATTCCACATCCCCACTGGACCCAGCTTTCTCTGTATGATTAAAAATTGCACCAGACTAATGATCCAAGTCTGTTAAACTGGCAGACCCTCTCCCAGTCTCCATGAGGTGGTGGGGAACTTTCTAATGTGTTCTGATGTAAAGAGTGTAGTAACCTCTACAAATACAAACCCAGTCAATAGTTCTGGGTCACAGGCAGAGAATCTCCTTACTGCCAGAGACTCTCACAGTGCTCCTTGCACTAGTAGAAACTGCAACTCTGCAATCTGCAAGCTCAGTCGTGCCTTCAAGTTTTGTGGGGGTGGGTCAGGGCAGGGCTGGAGGGTGGGGGGAGGCAGGTCATTCCTTGGAATTTCTACAATTTCATTTCTCTTTTTTTTTCATTAATTAATACTGACAGGGTGTAGCAATGCTGCACAGCTGTGCATGGCACAATGGTTCCTCTTGGGTTGCTTGGTTTTTAAAAGAACTATTAATGACAACTGTTACTTTGAGCTGTTTTAAACCCCTCATTTTCAATTAGTATTTTCCAAGCAGTTCCAGTCACCCTTGCCATGACCAAGCTGTTAGGAATACGTCTGACACAACCTGATCTGGAAGACCAGGCTGTAATTCTGCTCTGTGAACAAATAAATCAATACAGTATGATAGCCTTTCTGAGATAGTCAGAGCTCAGATATCAGCAAGAGGAGGCACAAAGAAAGCGAAGAGTGCAGAGATAAGATAAAAGAGGCTGGAAAGCCTTCTGCAGTTCTGATATCTACTGCCAGGAGCTCTTTCTTTTCACATAACAGTTCCTTTTGTTTTCACCTGCCTGCTGGATGTTTTCTGATCAGCTTTTCTTTCCTTCCCCTTCCCATTCTTGAGATTTATCTTTGGGTTGGAAGTATGACTGGCTCCCAAGCCCTCCTGCAGCACCTGCTATCATTGCTTATTCTCACTCTGCTGGAACTCTCCCACCTTTGGGTGGATGGCAAACAGCAGGACCATGGCTAATCTGTCTAGTGTGAGACTTTCATACTTGCAGAAGCTCGGGTTGATTTTTTTTCCCTTGCTCTCAGTCTAGCACAACAAGATGTGAGAAATACCGAAGGAAGGCAAGAAGCAGGAAACTGTCCTTGTGTTCCCTCTCTGGCTCTTGGCCTGTGCTCAGGCTGAGCTCAGCAGTGCCTCAGGGCTGGCCCCCAAGAGGCTCAGAATTGGGGGGGTGAGGGGGGTTGGGCGTGCAGTCCCCTGAGGAGAGGGGAGGAGATGTTTGGAAATTGGTTGTCCCTGGGACAGCCAGTTCACATTGGTCAGATGCTTCTAGCTCAGCCCTGCACCTAAGATCACCATATTTCTATTACTTTCAGTGGAATTACACGTGAACTTACATTA